CACACACACACACACACACACACAAAGAACATTTGCCCTAAAAAATATCTGGACACTTATGGCAACTTTCAGCCAGGAGCCAGACAGAAATAGGAAAAAATCCAATTATTTTCTTTACCTCTAACCCAGAAGGTAAAGAAAAGGGCGTCCCCAGTCCCAAAGTTGCTGGAAGATCAGGAAAAAAAACTATAAAATCAACATGGCAGGCTGTACCTTTTGGGGGCCTGGCCCTCTCAACCTTTGGGGCACTTCACCTTGTGTGCCATTTGTGACTTGACGCATTGGGGGAAGGCACCGGCCCTTGTGGCTGGTCAGTAGTGATGATTTGTGTGTTGTGCGACTAGCCTTCGTGGAGCCGAGGAAACAGGCTGTAGGATGCAAAAAAAGGACATGGCAGAAAAGAAGAGCAAAGGAGGAACTGGCCAAAAAAAAGAAGAAGAATTAAAACGGCTCCTTCTGAATGGCTCTTGGGGAGGAACTTCGAACAGAAAATTTCCATTATTTGACAATGGCGCCTGCTAAGAGCTGGAAGGCCATTTCCCTGAACAGCTGGCCGACACCCATCTCATTTCTGCTTTCGACTTCTGCTATCACAAAGACTGCAGACCGACAAGGAGGGGGTGTTTTTTTGTTTTATTTTTTTAAAGCAGGCCTATCCAGCAATCCTTTAGCCAAACCAAATGCTGAATTAAAGTTTTGGGGTTGGGGGGGAGGCCAGGAATAATGAACCCCAGGTGGAAACGCTGACCCAGACTAAAGGGGGAACCCATTCCAGCAGGGAAATTTCCCTCTCTGGAGGCAGCTGTGCTGACACCCCACCCCCCTCCCTTCCCTGGGATAAAAGCTTCCCTTTCATTTATTTATTTGCAAGGGCTCTTATTACAGGAAAAGCCACCAGCGATGACTTCACCAGACAAGAATGGCCTTAAACATTTGCCCAGCTATGGGGGTTTTTCCCCCCCCCACCCCACCCTCCGCCTTTTAGGAACAGAAAGTGAAAAGCAGCTGGGCTAAGCCGCCATGAAAAAGACAGGGGGATCCTTTATGAATTGTCTTGAACCCCGGATCAAGCAGGCAAGGAGCAGGAAACGGTGGAAAAGAGCAGCCTGAGCTTTGGACGGAGAGCCATCTGCTCCGTTTCAGACAACCACACAACCAAAGGAGCCCTTAAAAAACAGAGGGGCCAGGAAATGGAGTTTCACAGCTTTCCATTAAAAAACATGGTTTTTCTAAGTTTATCGCCATTATCGCCTATCTTTCTAGAACAGTTCGACCAAGGATGGTGCTGGGCGTTTGGGACAAGAGTCATGAAATGGAAGAGGCCACCCACATGGTTCCCATAGAGTTTCAACAGAGGAGCCAGCAACCCCATCGTGTGTTTTCCCCCAATAAAAGGGATGGGAATGCATCGGGATAAACAAACGCTCGGCTCCACCCCGTCTCTGTTTTGGATCTGTCCTAGGAAAGGCAGAACCGAGAATTGGGGATTTTAAGCAGGTGGTTCATTAGTGCCAAAGCCCCAACTTTCATCTGGTTTAATTAAATCATGGGGAGTGGAAAGAACAAACCTGTGACGTCAACAACAACAACAACGCTTAATTACACTTCACTTTCAGAGATTAAGGAGGGTGGGTATTTTAACAGCAAAGCTCTATTCAAAATCCCAGGGACCAGTTTATGAAATAAAAAAAATGTTCAGCTTTTTGGGGGGGCCTAACAGAATCTTTTCAACAATCAGTCGCTCTTGATTTTTCCAAGAAACAGGGTCTTCTTCAGTGACTCCTTTGCACCATGTGACCAAATTATTTAAGCCTCATTCAAAGCATTTGGCTTCACTGTACTTTAGCTAGTCCTGAATGATTTGTTCTTTCTGAAGTTTGTTTATTTTCTCAACCCTAAAATAAGACATCAGTTCTTCACTTTGCTTTTGCTGGCTGCCAATGACGTTTTTTTCCCTTTTCATTCACACCTTGAGAGCCGAGGCTTCTACAGTGAATTGGGTGTGTGAGCACGTGAAAAGCAGAAAGGGGAAATGGTTATCTTGCAATTGTTGCTGGAGTTCCTTAATCTGGTTTCTTTCTATCCGTGAGGATGAATGCCGCCCATGATTGCTTCAGTTAAATCTTTCTGAGTTGTAGGGCAAGCAATCTTTATTTTTTGCCTAAAAGCTGAACCAAGGACGAAGCCAACTTGCATCCTCTTCTCAAGGGACTGGCAATTCTGTGATCTGCTTTTTTTTTTTTTGAAGCATGACCTTTGCTCGAAAAAGGCACAGCTTCACACCCGACAGTGATTTCCAACACACCCATCTACTTATTGCAAAACTGAGAAATTTATAAAGATCAGGTCAGAGGAAAAGGCACGAGTCCGTCAGTTACACCAAGGAGTAATACAAGCTTTTTTTGGGGTGGGGGGTGGAGGTGGGGGGGAGAGTTCAAAGAACCTCATTGGATTAAGAGTCTACTAATACATGAACTTTTTATGGTCAATTCCCAAAAGAACATTTGCAATATTCAGACAAATACATTCCTCTGCTTCATCAAAGCAGGACATTCTAAGACAGGGAAGCCTGCCCAATGTATATAACATTACCGACAAGTTGAACAGCCAAGGGTTAAATTAATTTAATCCGGAGGAACATTCAAGCACATAATATATTAAACACTTCATTGCTAGGTTGCAAAACAGTGATTCTGCCTGGGAGGAATGTGGGCAGGGCAGGAGGAATCAGTGAGGCTTGTGGAAGTCAAGGTCTTCAGAATAAACATCTCTCTGGCTTTCGCTACATGCAACCGTTCCCTTCTTTCCTACCACAAAAAGAGAAGTTAACCCAGTGGCCTAGCAGCCAAAGAGGACCTGGGATGATGAAAAGACAACTCCCAAGACTGGTTCTTCTGACCTGCCAAGAAGTCAAAAGGAATCATGGCTTTTGGAGGGGGGGGGGGCGCTATTAAAATGTAAAATGCCCATGTTCCTTCTGGATTCTCGTGAGAGATATTCGCAGCCACTGGGGTTTGAGTCAAGGGTTTGAGTCAACAGGAGGAAAGCGGACAGGCCAACCCAATCGGGTCTCACTTGGAATCGGTTTGCTCGTGTGAAAATGGGGAACCTCAGGCACTGCCTGTTTGGTTGGACAGAAAAACCCCAGCTAGCTGACACACACACACACACACACACACACACACACACAGGGCACCAGTGTTTATAAACAGAACCTTAGAGAAGTGCCATTTTTTGCATATTTCTAAGGAAAAACTTTGCATACTCTGCCAGTAAACCCCCACACAAGGCATTGCAATAGGCCAATTCTATTAGCCCTATGAAAATACTTCCCTATAGCCTGGTCTCAATTTTTCCTTCTAAACCACATTTCTGGGTCCTGGAGGCAGATAGAAGGGAGCAACTTAATCTGTGTGAAATGTTTTAATTTCCTTGCACGTCACTGCAGCGCCTTTGTAATCACCTCAAGTGCACCCAGAACAGCAATTTGGAAAAAGGAGGGGCAAGTCACAGATCAGACAGCCCCAGGACCCGAGCCAGAATTCAGGCCACCCTGAATGAAGAAACAAGGTTTAGTCCCATCCCTGAATCTGGCTGGTTCTCGTTCTGTTCTAAAAGTGATCTCCAGCCCTGCCTCTCCATAGAAAAAAGCCAGTCCAGGATTTTAAGCCTCATCTGCCAACGAATTACCTGGCAACGTTAAAGGGGGACGGAAAAAAAGAACAAGGGACAATCATTCAGCCACAAAGCGAAAACAAACACTTCAGGTTTCTGTATTAACAGAAGGACCCTCCTCCCATTGAGAGAATCACTGAATGGGTTTTATGAGAGAGTTTATGTAAACAAGAAGGTCTTCCGGCACCGCACCAAGATTTTTTTTACCTCTGCCGTTATTTGGGCTAGAGCAGGGGTGTCCAACCCTGGCCACTTGTGGACTTCAACTCCCAGAATTCCCCCGCTAGTTGAAGTCCGTGGTTATTAAAGTGGTCATGGGTTGGATACTCCTGGTCTAGACTGATGCACAGTGAAAACTAAAAGCAATTCTGGACTGCAAATTAAAACTCCTGCTCCTATTAACTGAAGCCATTCTCCTGAATAAAAGAAAAAAAAAGCCAAAGAAAACGCAGCTTACGAACTGTTTCATCCCCAAAGGGTTCAGAAAAGGCCATCAGGCATCCTCCAGAAACACCCAGGCTGAAAGATCTGGAGGGCACCCAGGAAGCTGCCCACAGACTAGATAAGGTGTGTGTTCCTGTACCACAGGATCTCACACTGCTAATTCACACAACTTCTTTTGTTTTCTTACAGGATAAATGACATTCATGTGCAAGTTTAGCTTTTTTTTTTTTTTTTTTTTTTTAAGGAACCTTTAAACTCAGCTTGAGAATCAAAAAACAAAGCAGGGCGATGGAAAAGCCCCCAAAGGCTCCTTTTCTTCCCAAGAGGGGTTTTCAAAATACTTTGCTACTTTAACCCGGTCGCTACAGTCACATGGATAACCTTGTGAACTGGGATACAAAGGTTTTCTGAAATGCAAAGCATACGCTTGATGGGGGAGAGGGGGGAGGAACCAAGAGTCACCAAATCCAAACTGAATGTTCTTTTTTTTTAAAAAAAAAAAACCCTCTTTGCAATCTTTCTGCAGGTTTCATGGGTCCCAAATGGCATTGATCATGGTTGCAGACTGAGCTCTGCTGCAGGGAGCAGCGAGGTGTGATTCAAGAGGGGAGGGCACACGCTTAATGGCAGTGTAACGCTTTCAGGAGGGCAGTGGAAAGAAAGATGGAAAAATTAAAAAAACAAAAACACAGTCAGCCCTTTAGAATACGATGTGTTGATGAGCGGCTGAAGGACGCCTTTTCTCTCCTTTCCCAGAGATCACCCGGAAGTCTTTAAGGACGAGGCTGGGCCCAAACACCCCTCCGGGCCCAGCGTTATTCTCCAAAAGACAGGAGGGCACGATTGTCGCCCTGTGCAAACAGATCACCCGCTGCTCAGTGCATCCAGCGGCCTTTCCTCCCGAGCCCAGATGCCGCCAGTCCAAGCACCCCTCCTCCTGCACAGGGCTTCAGTCCTCCTCGCTTCATGGGAGTGAAGCAGAGGGCACACGTTTCTTCCCTTGGGAAAAGCGACTTCCATTGGTAAGACATCCTTGCTGGGTGACCTTCCTATCCCGGACAGTTCATAGCAATCCTTCTTCATGGGGTGTTCCGGCTGTCCTGCTTCCCGCTTGGCAAGAGGAGAACAGCTCAGTTTTCTACTCACAGCAGGAACCGAGTAGTCCAAAGCTAAGCTCCACTCGGGAGAGCCCCCCCGTTTTGGCTCACCGGATCAAGTAAGCCAAGCTCGCTCCTAGGCCAGCCACGCCTGCAAAAGCCACCAGAATGTTTCTGATGCTGCCTTCCAGGTCCTCTACATGGAAGAATTTAACAAAGCCCTCCTAAAAGAAAGAACGGCACCGTTAATGGCTGTGACACAGGCAGCAACAGCAGCACCTGGCAGCTTTAGAAAAGGCCCAGGAAGCAAGCAAAGCGCGGGAAGAGAGAAGGGGATTCCAGAATAGGACCTCTATCTCAAACCCCTTCAGGGGAGAACTTAAGGTCCTTATCATAAAAACCCCAGAAGGCCACCCCTCTAGAACCCCTCCTGGGGGAACAGGAAGATGGGTCATGCAATCTCTGCCTCTACAAGCCAAGGAAAACAAGCTCACGTTTTGACCCTGAGTTAACATGAGGGAGGCCCCATAATCCAGGAGTTTAAGCATTATTTTTTTGTCTGGACAACTAGCCTTAAGCACAGCTGAAGTTTCCACTCCTCCCCCATTCCCAGGTCTGTCAAAAGGAGGAACAAGGAAGAAAACCCCCCAAAGGCCAGGAATCTTACTCACCCAGGCGTTGTGATGCAGCAGCCACTCTCTCTTCTCTGTCACCAGCACCTCCGTGATAATCTCCGCCAAAGTGCTGATGCCGCTTTCCTGGTTTATGCTCTTCAAGTGTTTGGCAACAAAGGCACCAAAAGAAATGAGAGTCACAATTCGCCCCCAGTTTGTTATGCCATCGTTGAAAACTTGTGTTGCAACTTCCGACATAAGCTTCAAGTCATCCGCTTTGTCGATCTGCACTTTCCTCAGCATTCCTGAATTAAGAAGGGAAGGAAGGGCTTTAGGCAAAGCACCACAGAAGGTCAAAGAAGGGACAAACATATTTTGGTTTTGTCTGGCCATTTCCCTGCAAGGGGGCGGGGGGCAACCTCAGAATCATGGTCACTGCTGCTACAGTTCATCCAAACAGCAACTAGAACTAAAAGGAAACAGCAATTTTGTGCAGAATATTTAACTCAGGCCCAGTGATTTCCCAAGCAAAACAGGATGCAACTTGCAATTCAGACTGCTAAGTGGTGCCACGTAAGAGGCCAAGGCAGAACTGGATTCCCCAGTTGATCTCAAAGCTTCAGGAAGTTTGAATTCAGGCTAGGAGAATCCCTGCGGTATTGTGGATTATTCAGAAGGCTTTAAACCTCCCAGGAAGCAGGTGCTGATGAAATCGGCTACCAGGGAATTCAATGAATCAGCCAAATACTATTGTACTACAGGAGTGGAAGCCCTTCCTCTGCCTGTTCTGTGTCACGGTCCTCTGCTTCAAAGCATGATGGCCCAGGATGTCCCACACTGTACATCAGCCTGGAAACCCATCAGCAACCATCCCATTTATTATTAAGAAAACTCAAAAGCTGGCAAACTTCAAACACTTTGCTAGAATCACTCCAAAGGTGAAGCACAACCAAAGGAAGTTAAAAAAAACCCTGGCTAGCTAGAGAAGCTTCTGGTGGTTTGTTTGTTTTTAAACACCACCCTGTTTACAATGAGCTATTTTTTCGCTTGCTGGGCCCAGCAGGATACGAGCCACTGATAAAGCTAATCTATAATGAGATTTTTTTTCATCTCTGCCTGCCAGGTTGCCCCCCTCCCCCACAGTACAAAGTGCAGTTTCCTTTCTGCTGCAGCCTGATACTTTCACAATGACTGCTTGCAGCAAAAACAAGGGGGGGGGAGGGGGGGCAGAGAAGGAAAGAGGGAAGCCAGGCCTGCCCTGCAGCAGCCCCGGCCACACACAGCTTCCGGGCCATCAGGGTGGGCTCCACCAGAGTTGCAGCTGCCTTCCAGCCAATCCAGACCAAGAGCCTCTTCATCTCTCCCCAGCAGAGGGCAAATGGGGGGGGGGGGGGGGGGGGGGGGGGGGGGGGGGAAAGTCCCTGAATATCAGAAAGTCTATTTTACATCCCTTCCTTCATATCTTGCACCCTCTCAGTCCTCCCTTGCTAGCAGCCTTTTCAAAAGAATGCATTGCAGTTTTTTTAAACAATATTTGCACTCCTCCCAATCCCATCCCCAATCCTCCCTCTGCTTGCTGCCCTTTTATTGGGGGGGGGGGGGGGCTAACTAGACTAGCCTTCTATTGCAGTTTAATGCTTTTTTCGGGATGGAGGAACCCCTTTTTTTCAGGGTGGGGTAGACCAACCCTCTGGGTGCATGGCACTTTCTCGATAGTTGCCCCCTCCCCAAATCCCATCCTCAATACTCCTTGCTTGCTGTCCTTTTCGGGGGGGGGCGGTTACTAAATCACTCTGTTTGCATTGCAGTTTCTCAATATTTGCTTCCCTTTTGGGTGGGTGGGTGGGGCTAAGTAGACTAGACTTCTGTTTATGTTGCAGTTTAATATTCGCAGCCCTGCAATCCCATGCTTTTCCATGGTGGGGGCTAACTAGGCCCATCCTGCTTGCACGGCACTTCCTCAGTATTTGCACGCATCCGCTGCGAGGGGGAAACCCCTCTTGGACTACAAGCCCCATCAGGAGCACCAATGCAGCACTAGGGGGAGTACGGGGGGGGGGGGGAGAGGGTTGGCCGCCCACCTTGGAAGGCCAGCTGGTGCTTCTCCGTGATGTCGTCGCAGACCCTCCGCAACGTCTCCAGGGCCCGAGCCGCCGTCTCCGCCTCGGCGGGGCAGGGACCGAAGCGGCCCAGCAGGCCCTGCAGGAACTTCCCGCCGCCGCCGCAGCCGTCCTGCTTGGGGGGCTCCTGGTCGGCCGCCTCTCGCAGGTATGAGGCCACCAGCTGCAGCGTCACCTGGCGCAGCGGGTCCCCGGGCGACGGCGGGGCGGAGGAAGAGGCGGCGGAAGGCTCCACTCCGGTCTCCGCCTCGGGCTCGCAGCCGTCCAGCTCCTCTTCGGGGGTCGCCGGTGGCGGCGGCGGCGGCGCCTGGCCAATCAGCGCGCGCGCGGCCGCGTCCGGGGGCCCAATCAGCGGGAGGGGCCCTGCGCGCGGCCCTCCGCCAATCAGCGCTCGAGGCCCCTCAGCGCAGCCGGCGGGAGGCCAGCACAGCCCCCCGCTCAGGCCTCCTCGAACGCCGCCGGGAAGGAGAGCCAAGGTGCCCTCGCCTCCGCCGCCTCCGCCTCCGCCGCCTCCGGGGGACTGAGGGGCGGCCGGTGCCAATCCTGGGGAGCCGCCGCAATAGAGAACCATCGTCTTCTTGTTGAACATGGCGGCCGACCTCGACTGACGGCTTCGTACTGAGGAGGGGAGTGGCGCGCGCACGGAGCGCCCGTTATAAATGCCGCCCGCGCGTTGACGTCAACGGGCGACGCCGGCGGAAGGGGGCGGGGCCACGCAGACGAGAGGCGATTGGAGCGATAGGAGAGAGCGAAGGAGGGGCGGGGGCTCCTCCTGGTGGGGGGGGGGGGGGGAAAGAGGAAAAATTCTGGGTAGCCAATCAGAGACGGGCTCGGATTTTTTTTTTTTTAAATCCCCCTTTCATCTTCCCAGCCAGGATGGACGGGCGCATTTTGGCTTTGGGAAAAGGGGGAGGGGGGGAGAAAGAAAAGAATGGAAGTGCCCTGCGGGACCTCGGAGGGGAAGCAAAAGCGGATGGGGGGGGGAGCGTCCTGGATTGACCCCGACTCCCCCTCCTCGCCAAGGGGGGGGGGGGGGCGGCATTGCAAGCCTGTCGGGGGGGGGCGGGGTCGGTCTCATCCGGACTAGCCCAGGGCTGTCCAAGCTTGGCCGCTTTTAAGACCAGTGGAGTTCAAGTCCCAGGATTCCCCTGCTGGCCACACAGGAGGAATTCTGGGAGTTGAAGTCCACCAGCCTTAAAAGAGGCCAAACTTGGTCAGCCCTGAGCTAGATGCTCTTGGGGAGTCCCTCCTCCTCCTGCAAGGCAGAGGTCTGGGGTTCCCCCTCCGTTCCACCCTGACCCTCCAAGCCAGTTTTGCATCTGGGTTAATGCTGGCTGGCAATGCCCCCCCAGCCCCGAATATGCCCCACAAAGTACCCTGACGAGAGCCACCCTTTCCTGCGTGATGGACCTCAAGCCGAACCTCAAATCAGCCAAAAGATGATGGGCGTTGTAGTCCCACTTTGGGCATGAATGCCAGCTGGGTGACTTTTGAGCCAATTCCCTCTCTCCTGGCCCAGCCCACCTCCCAGGGCTGTTGTGGTTAAGGAAAACAGGAGGAAGGGGGTATTGGATAAGTTCGCTGCCTGATTTACAGAAGAAGAAAAAAAAGAGAATAAAAGGCAGGACAGCAATAAATAACAATTCTTGAGTAGAATTCAGCAGAAACGGCCCTGCCTGGCTTGCAAAACGAAAAGCTCAGCATCTTTCTGCAGCATAACAGGATGTCCAACGCGGCCTCGGGGCAAATGACAGATTTCAAAAGTTTGTGCAGTCCCCACGCAGCAGCCGACTCCTTCGCAGGGACCCAGGGCTGAGCAGCCCACAAATAGGATCACCTCCACCGTGACATCACCGGGGCAAATGTTCCCCAGACGAAGCCGTTTGGGGTTGTCTAGACCAACCCACGAGGAGGGAGGCCTGGGTTTGGCCAAGGATAATCACCCCTTTCAAAGCCTTAGGAACCAGGGACGGGGTTTGGCCCATTTCAAACCTCGGTAAACAGAGCAGGTTTCCAAACAAAACAAAAAAAACTGCTTAAGGGGTGTTTTTTCCTTCCCCGATTCTCCTTAGCATGACGTTATGGGAAAATGTATTTTTAAATGTTTACATCAAAAGAGCGTCAGCAAAAAAAACTCCAAAGGGCCTGACCCGAACCATTCTCCCCACACTGAGCCAAAGCAGACCGATTTTTGCCCTGAAAGAGAGACGCTGGTGGTCTTCCTCATATATGTGAGGCGGTCTCTTTTCCTGGAGACCCCCCAGCCTTTAATGGCTAAAGAAAGGAGGGGCTGTATTCTGCAGAGGTGGGATTAATTTTCACAGATGTCTCCGTGTTTCTCTTGTAAACCAGCCAGAGTCTTTGAAAATGGCGTCCTGTTAAGTCACTGAAAATTCCCTCCCCTCAGTAAAGCCATTTTCACTGATGGGAAAAAGGAAAAAATAAAAACTGGAGAGAAAATGGAATTTAAAAGTGAAATCCTGAGCATACAGGCCCATCTCTGTTCAAAGGGGCGTGCATAAGCGCACCAACGTGCCTACCGTCCCTGTCCTATTGTTTCTCTTATTCTTTTATTTTTCTTATATGTACCCATTTCATGTATTCACAACTATGTATACATTTATACTTATTATCTTGTAAACAATTGGCAAATCAAATAAATCAAATCAAATCAAGTCCACCCACTCACACTCCCCCCCCCCCCCGACTCAGAACAGGAAGCCAACCTGGTTACCTGACCTACATCCCCATTACATCATCCCGTATCGACCAATCCCTGGAGAGGATGTAAGAAATCTAATTGTGACGGAGGACTTGAGAAAGAGGAAGAAAACAGCTTCTGGAAAGTACATCTTGTCTTCAGATGTCAGCAATACAACGTCCCAGCCCTAAACCGCTGACACGGTGCCCATACAGTGTCAATCACGCACAGAGGATAACTCACAGCTGACCCAAACATCACACCACCAACATTTATAAGGACACAACCCAAAAGGGCAAAAACCGCACGAGTTATTTTTTTTTTTTTTTTTTAAAGAAACTTGACGGGACGATTCTTGGGTTTCGTCAGAATGGAGTGGTCCGAGTTTCTAGTCCTCATTTCTTCAATGGAAAAAAAAAATCACCTTTACCGTCAATATCTTGCTTTGCTCTACGGCAGGGGTGTCCAACCTTGGCAACTTTAAGACTTGTGGAC